CGTTTGTTCAGATTGTTCGGTCTATGCCAAGCGCCACTCTTTTTCTATTGTCATTTTCCGGATTTATTATTGACCGATCATCAAGGATTCTTCAAGAGACTCTATCGATACGTAGTGGATCGGTTAGAGGTAGGCTGCTTTATGCATTTATTTCATTTTGTGCAGATTGTTATTACTGTTGTTTACGAACGTTTTAATAGTTCCGTTTTTACGTGATACCTTATTCGAGCCGATTTTTTCAAGGGTTGGAGCATAGGAATGGCTGATCTGATTTGTGTGAATAGTAATTTTACGAAGGGTGTTGTCGCCGAAACATTTCCACATTTGGACGCGACTAAACTCAAAGTTTTATATCCAACGCTTAATACGAAGTTCTTCGATAGTGCACCAGAAACAGAACTGGAAGACGTGCCGTCCAGTGCGAAATATCTGTTCGTTTCGATCAATCGGTATGAGCGGAAGAAAAATATCAAGTTGGCAATCGATGCTTTTGGTTGGTTAGATGTTTATTTATGAAGTTATATTCTGGTTTGTTTAATGCAACAAAAGTTACAGTTGCAAGTTCAGCAAATAGATTGGCAGATTTGAAGTTAGACTGTTCTTTAAAACGAAGAATTATTCGGCTTCTGTAGTGAAGAGCGATTTCATCAAGAGTTTAAAGATTTTGTTATTTTTTGTTATGAAATTCAACGGTCTTCTAGTAGTTTTTTTTAAAAATAAACTTGCGCATGGTGATTTCACAGAAGCAAAGATGTAATAATTCAACGCAATTAAACTAAACTCAACGATAGGTATCAAAAACATGGGAGTATGTGAAATAACACGATCACATTCATGAAGAGTGAAGCNNNGGTGGGTTCGATAAGCTGAACGAGGAGAATCTGTTGCATCATCGTGAACTGAAGGAGTATTCTGTTGATGCGGCCATATCCACGAAACAGATTGCGTTCTTGAGATCGCCGTGTAAGTGCATTCGATTGGTTCTGCTCGCGTTTGGGATTGTTTTAAGATGAGATAAGTTTCGTTGAAAAGAGGAACACATTTTGGTGATTGAATGTGCGGAATATTCGGATAGCGTTTGACGTATTGCTGTTGTTGAATTATGGTGTGTGACAGTGCATTGGTCGATTGATTGATTGTTTGATTTTGGTGGTTATGGAGATAATTTCTTGTAAGATGAGGACAGTGATCGTTGTAGTGATTTGACTCGAAAAATATTTAAGTGCTCATGTTTTTAATTACTTATTATTGATACTTTTTGATAACGATGAGAATAGTAGTATCAATAGCAATACTATCATCAGTTCAGTGGCAAAACTAGGCATATAATGAAGTGACTCGTATGGGTTTGAATGAATGTTGACGAATGTTGGAAGCATATGAGAATAACTTTGAACTGCAAATTATAATTACGGTTTGATGAATGATTTTTACTCGGTGCAATCAAGTCATCGTATGTTAGTAAAATCGTTTGTGAAATTTGCAGCTGACAATGTAAAAATTGAGCTGTTACGTCGTTCGACAGCCGTTTTGTACACACCGTCGAATGAGCATTTCGGCATAGTGCCGGTGGAAGCGATGTACATGCGAAGTTGTGTGATTGCGGTCAATTCGGGTGGACCGAACGAGTCGATCGAGAACGGTTCGAGTGGGTTTTTGGTGGAGTCGAATGCGAGGGCATTCGCCGAAGTGATGGCCAAATTGGTTAGAGGCGAACTGAACAGGGAAGAGATCGGTGAGGCGGGTAGAAAACGTGTGCAATCGTTGTTCACTTTCGAGCACTTCTCTAGAAAACTTGAAACTTTAATGCAGTCGCTGGTTTGAGGGTGTGATTCATTTATATGTTTGGAATTGTATTCGTTAAGTTTGATTTTGATATCAATTTTTAAGGGTTTCTGAAGGATCTTCTCTTCTCTATGGAAATGAATTTAGTCTGATCTTTGTGATGTTTTAAATTGTTTAATTCACGTTTTAAAAAGGTGATTATTGTTCTGAATTTATTTGTATTCATGTCTTTTCATTGTTATTATTGAAACTTTCTTATAGTAACCAAAACGATTGGTAAAGTTTTAGGTTGTAATTGTGGGTGTTGTTTTTCGCGTTGTTGTTGTGATTATTATTATTATTATTGTTATTATTATTATTATTATTATCACTGTTGTGATCGTTGTTATCTTATTGCTCCTTTTATTGTCATGTTATTGTTTATTTTATCGTTGTGATTGTTTGTTATGGTGGTATTGAGATAGTGGTGTTGTTATCAATAGGTGAAATCGATAAGATCAGTAGAGTTGGTGTGGTATTGAGGCTATCAATAAAGCAACAGTTCGTTTTGATAGAGTGATAATTTCGTTG